TATGTATTGCCGTAACGTCATACTCCAGGCGGGTGACGGCAGCAATATAGGGGATTATCTAGGTGCGCTACTGACATCCCCTCGTATGCAGATTACCCCCAACCCCGCCCCGACCGACGTCTCCTCCGCCGACTTCCCCACCGACCTGCGGACGGAAGTGTTATGCTGTCTGAACATCTTCGTCCAGTTCCGCTCCCGCCGCGTGAGCAGCGCCTGGGCGGACCTCCTGGACACGGCCTCCTTATCCAACCACCTTATCCTCACCGATGTCCTGTGTGCACTTTCGGTTCGGTAACTCAATCACTTCACAGGCTCTTTCTTCACAGGCCTAGAGATATCGTCAGTACTGTCTGTAGTGGTAGCTCACGGGTTCGGTGAACTGGGCAGTAGTTGCAGCTCGGTCACTCGTTCACTAGCGGCTCTGCCCCCCGAGCCTCTGCTCCACACAAGATCCGCCGAATTTTTGTAGACCAAATTCCTCGCGCTTGTACTCGTACGAGTGCCGGTCCATATATATTGATGATTCGACAGCGCTAACGGACAACGGGTCAAGGAATACAATGCAAGCGTTGGGCTAAGCGTTTGAAGCGTTGAACGTGATTGGAGGTTGATGCCAATAGTGACCGTACACTGCATCAGAACGCCACGATTCCCCTTTAAATATGAACCACTTTTCCTGCTCAAAGTCCAACCGTGCCCATCATTTGATTTGTCCGCCGCTGTGGCTTTGACCAAAAGATATAGCGAATTTTACAACTAAACGAAGAGTAAGCGCTGATTGTGTTAACCGGAATTCGGATTCGTTGCCTACAATGTACACGAGTGACCTTTTGAGAATTTTGCTCATCATGGCGGTGGTTCAATCCGTAACACATGGTGGCGAAAAGAGCCAACTGCAAGAAGATGCGTACCGGTCTTCACAAATGGACCTAGAGATATCGCTATTCTGGATAGCGGTCGCAAGTAAGACAATTAATAATTAATCTATTATAATTATTATTAATTATTAACTATTATAATTATTACTAAGCCTTTAAAGTGACCTTTCTATGAAAATCGATTTTTACTTCCTTATAAGGCATAATTTCTTGCTTATTTATATGACGTCATTTCACTTTTGTAACCGACAAATAATTTTTAATTTCGCCTGAATTAGAAGATCTTCGCTGGGCTCCGGTCGATTAATTATAATTATTCATTATTCGCAGGTATTATAATTATGATTAATTATAAGTATTTATTATTCGTAGATTTATGCCTGAATGCATATAATTCAGTCGTTGCAAGCCTGCAGTTGGCAGTTGGAATACTGCAGTTGTGTGGGCAGCTACCAGTGAATACCACCGGCGACCGACGAGTTCCCAGCGCTGAAGGAACACCGCAGTTACCACCGCCACCTCAACCACAAGGACCAGCAACGGTGGATATAAACCCACCCCATGTGCGATATATCTTCCACCCAAAAGCTTAAGTCACATAATTTCCAATTCACCACCGGCGGATGCTACAGCGCAGACTTAGTGTGTGTTTGAATGCAATACCACTATACATACCAGTTTGTGTAAGCGTTATTATGCATAAATTTAGCATTGCCATTAGCATACCTACATGCGTGTACAGATCTGTATACATAAATCATTTCCGGGTGTGCAGTCGCGAAATGATACTGCAGAAAAATTCCTGCTCTTTTTCTTTATTTCTAATATTTTACCATGTAAGCAGAATAAAGCAGTCGATCGTTTATACAAAAAAGTCAACGCTGAAAGCCTTCCCTTTTTAATTCACTGGTACTGGTTACATGAGCAACATAAGACACGTAATATTGCTGGAAAAAAACGACTTCACGGAAACCACACAAGATACAGTACAAGGATTTTTAGCTGGCGGGTCTGGATGCGGTGCCGCTTGACTCTCCACTCTGTAACTCCGACGGGCTGTGTTAGTTCCTCGGTATATTCGCAGGGCGTGGTTTTGCGACTGTCATCCGTAAGGAAAATTGTTTGCGTCAGAACCTATCCAACATATGAAAGAACATTACCACCGACGTATTTCTAGAAAAAATCTGATTAGGCAATGTATTAGATATAAAATCAAAGTACGTACTACGAGTGTTACTATTGCACACTACATACTACACAGTACATACAGTAATAATATTACTGTATGTACTGTGTGTACAGGTATGTACAACTGTACAAGTACAATAATAATATTATTATTATTGTACTTGTACAGTTGTACGTCAATCTGTGCTTATTTTTGATGTACTACAAATATTATGTAAAATACGTAGTACATCAGCAAAGTGTTTATAGCGCTATTAATTCTCGCATAATAATAATATATTAATTATCAATATCTATTACCTTGTATGATATCAAAGTAGGCTGTACATATCTGGCAACAGCTAGTTAACATAATAGTGAACCTTTTAATTCTTATAAACCAATGCACGGAAAGAAAGTTACTGAAGTTTTTTAAAATTTTTTTCCCAGGTACAGTCTGTGTACTGTATAATATAAAAAGTGCAGTCTGTATTGATCATTATTATTGATTGTCATATTATGTAACTATGTATATGCTGTATAGTCTACCTACTTCGCTCCAAACACTTAGAATTATTAATAATTAATGTGAGCAGAAAATTTTTCTCCTTTGGTTTAACTGCATACCCAACGAGCGCGGAACTTCCAGTCACCCAGTGCCCTTTGTACAGGTATGTATTCCGCAGTGGGCAACACCAGCGCAATTCCGAGACCGGCCGCCAGAATAATGAACAGAGCGGTGAGTTCCAGTGGCGTTAAGGACACGAGGCAGTCGATTTCGAACTGCCACAACTGACGACCCAAACATATCAGTAACAACTGTAGTGGCTGCTTATGCTTATTTCTCACTTATAATACTTCGATGAGTGTATTATATACTTGTGCAAGCTAAACGCCATTTGCACGATTGGTGATGGCATGCGCTGCCTTTAGGATGCGGATGAGGTCTTTGGTGACCTGGCGGGGATTGCCGACCGGGAAGCCGTTGTGGAATTCACGATACCTTTTTAGAACGACGGGTTTATTATCCTGATGAAGAAGGACAATGAGACAACCGTGGATGGCTTTGGATTTCTCCGATTTCTCTAGCAGCTTGTGGCTGTCCATTGTGTTGGCGATTTGTCGTCACCTTCTTCATCGGAAGGGTCGGGCTGTCGGAATCGCACCGTCCTGAACATTGTGATCCGGATGAGGTGGAGGGTGTCACCAAACGACTACACTATGCAAAAAAGCCTGATAAAGGTCATGTTAGAGGTGTCCACTAACGTGTGGGCTGAGAGTTGTCAAACGACATTTGTAGTGATTGACGGTGGCGACATTATTCCAGCAGTTAAGGTCCGAATATTGAGCCGCATTACCGTGGGGATGTGGTTCATCAATGCGTTGATTGTCAGCCAGACCTATACGGCCAACTTGGGTAATATGATTATGTAATCTATGCTTAACGGCAGAGACTGGCTAGAGAAAAGATCTGATTGTAATAATTCATTCAGATGATTGACTAACCAGAAAACTAGATCACAAAGTATTTAATAAAGCGCCTTTAAGAACACAACAATCACATTAATGTAGCTCGCGTTACCATTTTGGGTAGAGGGGTTGTTTCTAGTTTTTAACGCAGGGACCTGTAATATCGTGGCAGCCGTGTTTGGCCAATACAGGGAATAACCGAAAGTCCGCACCGGCAATTATCGTGAAATCCACATGGAGGATTTTTGAAAGCAGATATTTGAGCTGTCAAAACACTGCACATCTGGTTCAGTCTGATTTCTCAAGGGCAATGTGTTTGCTACCTATTAAACCTAAACCGGCATTTTTGCTGCAATCTGCCATGCCGCCAAAAATTTTAATAAAACATACTCATAAAAATAAAATAAAAATTTGGCATTTTTCGGGAAAGTCGAAACGTACGCTGGCGAATAACTCGACTAGCGCATGGAGTATATCCAGAACTTTTTTACTATTGACAAAGGATGTGTTTTTCTAGACGAAACAGTTAAAAGCGTTCAGAAAGTCCATGCGGGAAAAAAACGCCACGAGATTCTAAGTTTTGCGAGCTGGCCAAAATATATTTCGACCTGACTTGCCAATAAAATTGTCTGTCAAACAAGTTTAAGTAGTTTACAGTGAGGCAAACGGTTTGCGAAAAACAGATTAAAAACGGAGCCCGCCATTTTGTTCAGCCACCCGGTACAAGCTGGTAGTTTCAGCCAGGCTGTTCCCATGGCCGCGAACGCTGATGACCGGCCCAACATATCGCTGGCCGTTAAGTGTCGTTAACGCGGTATGTCAGGGTCAGACGCTAGCCAATCAGGGTCGCTCTACGCCGGGCTCGTGGTCGGCGTCGCGCTGCGTGGTGGTTGAATTCCGCCCCCGACGACCTTTCGGTCCCTCATCCAAAAATTCCTTGTGCCGGGCCTGCAGTTATACAAGAGTATCATTGGTTATTAACCACATCGCTGCACAAGCGCTAGCAATATACCGCTGAGAACTGTTACGTATTTTCAATACCACTGGAAAATGGTGTTATAGTGATGGTTATCGAGTAGCAGCCTCCGATGGAATACTAGATTTGGAATGGTCACAGATCATATTACCCGGTATGTACGAGTACTTATGTAGTACGTACAATAGTACTCTTAGTCTTACAGTGACGCCACTGCACTGACCATTGACATATTATTTAATCGACCGGAGCGTAGCGAAGGTCCTCTGTATTCAAGACTAATACTTTCGTTGATTTCTGTCCGTTACGAAAGGTCGTTACGAAAGGTGTTACGAAAGCCATTTCCAAAGAGTAACTGGAAGTGCATGCTTATGTTGCTAAGTCGTTTTGCAAAATAATATAAAATTTAATTATTCTTCATAATTCTGCGTATAGTAGAGTACTCTGACAGATCAAATAATTAGGTTATAAGTGCTTAAAACTATTAAACAGTACTCAAAGCCCAAAGGATATGCTGCGCTCCGGTCTACCAAATGCACGCCAACGTGCATTTTGCCTAGTACAGTACGTACTTTAACTGATTAGCGTACTAGTACAGTAATTTAGAGGATTCGCTTTGCTGTTGGTTGGCTGCCGTGGATGTTGCGTCACCACCGAGGTAGAGAATATAGCGATCAGCACACGATGATGGCGGATACTTAATATAAATGCGACTCTGGAAAACTGTAAGCAGTCAGTCAGGAGAACTAATGTGCAAAATGTAAACTTTATTTGTCAGTGTTTGCCCAGTGTATTCAGGTTTTACTTCATATTGTTTTTCAGGCTTTTTGATTTGTCTTTCTGTGTATCAGTTGTGTCTCTGTATCCGAAGTAGAAATGGCACCGACTTGTCGGGTTCGCAGTTTGTTGTTCGTGTGGTTGTTTTTTGGGTTGCATGTTGAATCAGGTTGCTGGCTCACCAGCCTGATAGCAGTGATGTCCAGACGACGTTTCGAAGCTAATAACCCTGACCCTGCCAACGCCTCTCCTGAAGACCTGTCTCGTAAGTTTTGTTCCACCAACATCGCAGGTGGTGCGTGTTCTTGTATTTTTTGTTCCCAACTTCACGTCACTAATGAATAATTCAAAAAAATCTCCAATTTGGTAATTTTACCCCCTATGTTTGCAAATATAAAAGCACGTAACGGCTAAACAGCAACGCTCAAGAAACAGCTATAACGGTAAAGACTTGTGACATTGCGCAGCGCGCTTCTGGTGGCAGTTGCTTGTAGCTCGTAGCTTTTATCCAGTCTGTGCTCTATCTATCAGAGATAGAGCTCAGACTGGATGAATGCTACGAGCTGCAAGCAAAATTAAGCAACCAGAAGCGCGTTTGCGCAGCGTCACTACTTTTGGTAATTTCGCTTTCAGACAAAATCCGTAACGTTAGAAACAGTTACTGTACCTGCTATTCTTGATTTGCCTAAACTACAGGTCTATCGCGCCAAGTGTGGACAATTACATAAATTAAATTTAAAAATACTTCTGTAAGACTATTTAATTTTCGTTTTGTAATTTTCTGGTGTAATTTTCTGGTGTAATTTTTTATTGCGGAATTAGCAAGGTTAAAATCGAAATCTTTTGGTGTAGCAGTAGGGAGCCGAGGGGTGATTGAAGGGAAGGGGTAGCGGTCATTTTCTTTATGGTTACGAGTGCCCCTCCAGAAAATTCACCATCCAAAATTTTCACATGGGGTTTTCTGGAGTTTACTAAGTGACCCGCAAGGTGTGCGCTACGGGTTAGCAGAAAAATCTTGCTTGATCCAGTGTTGAGGGAAACTCGGAACAATGCCCATAGACTTGTACCGATATTTAAGAAGGACTTTCCGAAGATTGTGGGTGCCTAGAGCACGGATACGGGCGATGTCGATGGCGAATATATATCTGTAGTTTCCATACATCAGACATGGATTATGTTAGTCGATTTTGCCGTGCTGTCACGCCTCTATGACCGAGACAGTAGTGAGATATGTATCTATGACCGAGACAGGCCGACTAGCAGAAAAATCCAGTAAAGCGGTGATTAAAATAGGTTAGGGCTGATGGTGCAACTTGTTGGGTGTAATCATCTCGGATTTATAATGTGGATAAAAAACTAAAACTGATGCCCAGTTCCTCCTGAACGAGATTTTATCAAAGATGGCCGCCTGCGACCTTCCGCGACTGTACAGCGAGCGTGCAGATAAGGTCTTGTCCCATTTTGGCGGTGCCCGCCGTCAAAGTGGAAAGGTCACACAGGCTTGCTATGAAATGATCAGTGTTTAGCATATTTCACACGAGTATTAGATGATAAACAACCCAGCGCATTGTTTTTGCTCTGCGGCATCAGTGAAATTTTTAACCGAATTTTTATTGGGAGAAAGGCCACCACGGTCGAGCCACATTTGTCGCACGGTCTGCTCGGATTTAAATATCCCTGCAAATCAAGATACACTCCCAGCATAGCAACCCATAGTGTAAAACATGCTGGACACATGCGATAACAATGTGCAAATTAAATTATTATTTATTTGTACACGGATGACCAATAGTAAATTCTGAGAGAAACTGTCCACACTTGACGCGATAGACCTGTAATAAGTCTCGTCTCTGTATTTCTTGTGTTGTTTGCAGTGCTTGCTTCTGTTATTGATGCCGAACAACTAGCTCAACACAATGTAGTCACCTTGCCGAATCCGAACGCCATGCAGCACGACGCTGACTCCGAGCCCGGCGTAGAGCGACCCATGATTGGCCAGCGTAAGACCCTGACATGCCGCGTTGGCGACCCTCTGGCGACTCTGTTGAGTGAAATTGTTTGGACTCAGAGAAAGCCCTTCGTCCTATCGAATTATCTGTATAACAGCCAGCGATATGTTGGGCCGGACATCAGCGTGCGCGGCCACGGTAACAGCCTGGACATCAGCAATGTCACGCATAACAGCACGGGAACGTACACCTGCTACCAACGCTGCCCGGCGACGTATCTCTGTCCGCTGCGGTCCTACGCGCTGCTGCCCAGACCGCGGAACATCGGTGACGTCTTCGAGAAGCCCTTGGATATCACGCTGCTGTATCCCCATCGGCAGTTCTCCGCCACGTGCTGGCTGCAGTTTGACTGCTCGCCGGATGCTGACGCGTACTTTATCTGGAAGTACAACGGAGCGTTTATTTCGGCGCCGAGTCGTCATTTTCTGCACAAGCTGGGCAAGTTATTTCACAGCCCATTTGTGCAAATTACCGAAGTGAACTACCAGTCGGAGCTCGAGGAACCACCGTACTGTGCCCAGACTATCACTGTCTTTTGGTCGAAGCCCCACAGCGGCGGACAGATCGAGTGCTGGGCGCGGTCGGACACCGAGCAGGAAACGTGGTTCATTCAACGGGGAATCGTGGCGTTCTGATGCAGTGCGATGGTTCCTATTGGATCTGGAGGCATCAACCTCCAAGCGCGTTCAACGTTCCAAACAGTTAGCGTTACATTGTATTCTCTTTGTTTTATTGATTTATCAATCCTGTTGAAATAGTTTAATGTCGTTTTGTTCGTGTTGTGCTAAATTCTTCTGTTGTTCATTTGTGATATTCAAACCGGTTCCGAAGAACCACTAACGGCAGCTGTTTCTACTTGCCATGATTGCGATAGTTTTCCTTTAATTTCAAGAGCAGTCAGCTGAAAGGTAAAATTTAGTTAAATAAAATGAAATGTGAACGGAAAAGTTAAATAAAATGGAATGAGAACTGATCTAGGGTATTTTTCTCACACACAATCCAGAAATGTATCGCACGAACGATTTCATCTCATCGTCTTACTCATCAAAGTACCAGACTTACTGTAGAACTACCAAAATTAGTCAGAAAAACTTAACTGTCATTGTGTTGACCTGATTGATAGACGTCATTTTGAGCATTAAGCCGGAATGCTTATGAAGTTATAATTCATAAGTAGTTAGTCGCCTGCTTAGAAAATTACGTAATATTTCCATTCAGCTATTTTTTAACAGGGAAAAGTGAACCGATGGAGGATCGTACAAATTTTAATAAATGTTCGAAGACTGACCGTGGCAAACGGATGCATCAAGAGTTCATATGCCCCTTACCTATGCCCCGACAGCTTTTTAGCATTTTAAAATCGTGTGCGAAGCAGACGCGCGTTTTGTGCGTGCCGAAATTGTCGTCAGAGCCCGCTACCCACGGGTGCTGCGTCAGATTCGAAAATCTTGCTTGCCGCTTCGCTGTTTGTACATTTTACAGAAAATTTTTTACTGTAATAAGACTGCCCTCTAGAAAATCTTTAGTTACATTCAATCTGCTTAAGCTATAACTCAAAAAATGCAGACAAAAATCTTCTTATGGAAAATAGGAAGTTTGCAAGTAAAAAGGTTTTGGAGAAGCGAAATGTTAGCGATTTACGCTTTTTGCGTTTAGCATACTCCTCTACGGGGAAGTTTGCCATAGACTTGTATGCTAACTGCAATTTATTAAAGACGTTGATATCTCGTTTCTCCAAAAACTTTTTACTTGCAAACTTCCTATTTTCCATAAGAGGATTTTTTGTCTGCATTTTTTTGAGTTATAGCTTAAGCAGATTGAATGTAACTAAAGATTTTCTAGAGGGCAGTCTTATTACAGTAAAACATTTTCTGTAAAATGTGCAAACATGAAACAGCGAAGCGGCAAGCAAGATTTTCGAATCTGACGCAGCACCCGTGGGTAGCGGGCTCTGACGACAATTTCGGCACGCACAAAACGCGCGTCTGCTTCGCACAACGATTTTAAAATGCTAAAAAGCTGTCGGGGCATAGGTAAGGGGCATATGTTGATCGCTTCGCCAGTGCTTTGCAGGATCCGCTTGGAAACATTGATCTAAAAAAGTGCGAGCATCCTCGCCCAAGTTCCTCGGGAGCTGCGATCGTCCACCCATGGCCACATGGTACATTACGTTGTAGCTGTCATAAGCAGCACACTGAAAAGGTCATCTTCATTTTGGGACAGCAGTAACTCACATATTCTCACAGCCAATGAACTGCGGCCTCTTCCCGGTGATCACCTCTTCCGAGGCGAACATGACCAACACGATAGACTACATCAACAGTGTCGGTCGCTGACTCGCTGATATCGATGAAGCAGTTGTAGCATGACGGCGTCCACAACAGCGTTACGCTAAAGGTCAATGCCGTTAACATTTCCCAACCACCAGGATGGATAAACCAGGCTGATGACGTCCAACGGATTATTCGTGATGGCGAATACCAGACTGGCGAAGAAAAGATTGGCCAGGTAAATTTAGAAGGGTCGCGATAGTAAGCTTTGGTAGACAAAAACGAGCAGTACCGAGCCGTTGAAAATGACGATGGACGGGGAGATAACCATAATACCATATCACTGGAAACGACCACGAGATGCCGGCTACGGGTGTCGTACCGGTACCGTTAATATAGGCACTTTTATTGGCGGTTGTTGCATTGATCGACACATTCACGTGCATTTTGAAAAACTATAGGGCTCTGTATCGACGACGCAGAAGAATCTGGGGTTGAAAAAGCATCAAGTGTAGAGCATCATGTTGAAAAAGCATCATGTTAAAAAAGCATCATGTGCTAATCTCGGTATTGTGCCGGTCGTATACAGCGTACGTAATTTTGAAATGAAGTTCACGTTTTACATATTATGTTATAAAATGTAAAAATGTCCTTTGACGATAGCATCAGAGGCATTTTTACTAATGCTTCTACTTCTAAGAGGAAGAATGTTTCCTCTTCTCCTCCTGTTCAGTCGAAAACTCGCGCACCAGCAGGAACCAAGAATTACATTGAAGTAGGAGATATGCCACGCCCTGAATCAGTACAGTGTCTGGACCACAGCTATGCACAGCCATCCATCAGAAGTGCACCAAACGTTAATCATGCTGCCTGCAGCGCAGTTAAAAAACGCGAGTCGTAATTTTATACTCGCGTCCGACGATGTAGAAAGCCTCAGAAAACATTTGAAAGAAGCGTACGCTAGCCTTGATGCGTCAGAAGATCACGTACAGCGATTACAACTTAAATTGGTGGAACATGATTCTCGTTATCAACAATTACGGGAAAAATTTAATGAGGTAAATGAACGCATAGTCTCCAGTCTCCTGGATGGTAAAACCAACTCTTCACGAACATATGCGCAAGATGCACGCCAACCACCGGAGTGCCATCCAAGTACCACGCGAACGGATCCACCAGCAGTCTATCAGCAGCAAAGGTTCAACCTGATTGCAAGTTTACGACATGATCCCAACAGCCTACCAGAAATCATTAAGCCAAAAGAAGTTATGACCAATTTGGATGGCTTTTTCCGAAGTAAATCAACAACGGACACGCCTCTTGTAAAGGAGGTATATCAACGGAAAGTTTCGCGTGAAATCGTGCTGACCTTTAATTCTGCGCAAGAAAGGGATCAGGCACAAGAACTGTTGGCTTCCAGTGAAGTTTTACCCATTGAAAAGCTATCTGTTCCGAAGACTACCTTTCCCATTATCGTTAAAAACGTTGACGTGGAAAATTCTGAACATTTAAAGGAGGAAATAGAATTTAGAAACCCGTCTACCCGTGGTCAAATCGCTTCTGTTCGCGCTATATTCCGCAGGAGAAGCAATAATAGTAACACTTCGTACACCGGAAAAGGACATGTTAAGATCCATTTTGCCAATACTGACGCGCAACAGCATGTTCTTGCAGCCAAGCGTTTATATGTATTCGCCACCTGCGGTTGGACTGAAGCGGTTAGCATCGACTCAGCTGTTATACGATGTTATAAATGTAACAAGTATGGTCACAAAGCGAGCGCATGCCAATCACTTATTCCTGTGTGTGGAAGATGCAGTGAAGCACATTTTACTTGTGACTGCCACAAAGATTCCTCGAACTATAAATGTTCAAACTGTTCGGAGAATCACGCTGCTGGATCTACCAACTGTCGTTCGCAACAGCGGGCTGTGGAGAAGTACCGTACTAGGTTTTGACCACTCTTCTCTCAGCCCTAAATATTTGACAATTATTACGCTTAATATCTGAAACCACCTTGACCGGTCCAATATTCTACCCTGAAAACTGACATTTCCATCTCATCCTGGAAACCCTCGTGAAGACTGCAATAACATTGCTGCCATGAAGAAATGACCTCAACCAAGATTTGTTGGAGCAGTGGTCCATTCAAGGACTACGCTGTAAAATCCTAACAACAACAACAACAACAGCGTACGTAAAGGTTACGATATAGGCGCAAATTGCTATGAAACCAGGTAAGTACTGTATTTGTCTGTAAGGTAGCGTAAGTGTATGCTGTTCTCGATTCCCAAAATAGTTTGTTGTTTAACGAATTAGTGATCGCTGTGCTGATGAAGAGTTTCTTCTATGTTTGCTGATAAGCCAGAAAAGTCTCTGGAGATCGTTTAGCGTTTACATCGTTGTCTTAACGATAAGCAATGCTTTAAATGGGTTCTTGAATAGTCCTGTATCGCTGATAATCAATCAAAGATTTACTTCCTACCCGTCTATCTCTACTGCCGTCCTTCTGCATTACACATTTGATGCTGCGTTTACCTGTCGGCTTCATATTACAGGCTTGTCATATTCTTATGTGCCTTAATAGGATTTGTTCCATTTCTACAAGTACGCCTTTCCATTATATATCAACAATACCACACAAAAATGTTTGCGTGGACAGTAAATTTAGTAACAGCGGCTTTTTGAATTGTGTTTTCCGCACCGTTGTGATTATGGACGCTCTTTATTACCGCATTCCTGCCCGGAACGACAAGTGTACTGTAACATCCCGCACGGGATACATGGTCATCTTCCCGTCCATCGTCATTTTTAACGGCTCGGTGCTGTTCCTTTTCATCTACCAAGGTTTGTTATCACGACCCTTCTACATTTGCCTGCTCGCGACTGGGTGTTGGTTTTTGGTGTGGTATTTTAACTATCTTCCTGAGGTGGTTGTTGTGTTGTATTATGTGTTGATAAAAATAAGCGTAACAATAGGCGTAACATCCATGATGGACTGCCAGCTGTAAAACGAAGACCATCAAGCGGGTAAAACTGAGGAAGGATTACATATTGAGCGTCGGCGCCGCTGGTTGAGGTCACGGTCGTTTCTGGCTTTAACGGCGCTGACGGTCAGCATCGTAATCTGCTGGACAGTGGACACTGGCAATATTGTTTATCTCAGCGGTTCACGACATCCCACTGTTATTTTATCTATCAACCTGCTGAAAATGATACATGTTATTCTGGACCCTACTGGCGGCATCAGTAGGACTGGGTCAAATCTCAGTATGCTGTTATTAAATGGTTCGTAGAGTGTGCGCAGTTCTGTAATAGATCAAAATGTTGTTGCTTCTGACACCACTGACTACTGCATCACTATTTTTGACAAGAAAGCACAAACTGGCCAAGTTTAAGGTGTGCAGTTGCTGAAAAGTCTGCTGTGATGAAGTTAGAAATCTAATCTTTCAGATATGACAAATTGACGTTTACCAGCTGTACTGCCGTATCTAATTTTATCGCTTTAGCCGAAAAAATGAAGAACAATTTACGGCTTGCAAAAGATTTACGGATCTTGCAAAAGATTTACTTTACTTACGGCTACTTGCCGTAAGTAAAGTTGATGGCGTTAGACTGATGACATTTCCCAAGGAAAGTTTTAAGGACTCCTCAAATCCACTCTGGTGTAAATAACTCAGTACACTGCGCTCGGCTTCAGATGGCTCCTACGAGTATGATTTAAAGGTACTGTACATGGTACACCGTTGACGATTGCGTACCTTACGGTTAGAATGGGCATTCCTTTGTCTCTTACAGTCAGACCTCATTATTCAGTAATGTACAGTAAGTTATCATTACTACAGAGTAAGTACTCTGTACATTAAGTTTTAATTTACCTCAGAGCGATTCAACAATCTTGACGCAACAAAACTGTCAATGCTACTGCCGAGTTTGCTTTTCTACAACAAATTTTGGTAAAGCACACGATCAAGAAAGAACCTGCTTTTGAATTACCAGATTATGAATTTCCATCGGCATCCACATGATCGCCCAGTACTGCATGATCAGTACCGGCACCGTCGTCGAAAATCGTGCCAATCGCCATGTCGGATTAAGATCCGGAACGTATGCGTACAAGACAAACCACGAGATGGTCACCAGTGTCTCCAGAGTGTCGCCAATAATGCAGACGAAAAGTGGATAGCTGAACGTGGATTCCACAGCACCGGCGTATCGCTTTACCTCGCCGAATTTCTCCAGCAACACGGAAAATATCTTCATAAATTCCTGACTGGTCAGAGCTTTGTTCTGCACGATTGCCGTGGCTGCATTAACGTCTCTGATAAATTGAGCCATCAGTGAAGCGAGTTTTGAACAAGCGTTAACAAGTAGTACAAGCGTTAACAAATAGTACTTCCATAAACACGTTTGTCCACACCGGATACGAATAATCCAATGCAACTAGACAGGTAGCGACCCTGGCTGTTGTGGGGAAAATAAAATACGGGATATCGCGTACTGTTGGATCTTGCAATGCCAGAATTAAAGTAGCCGCGAAACGCAGTACTACAGAACAGAAAATAATAACAATTCCACGAAATATTTTCCTCCCGTCTGAGTTCCAGTCCCAGTTGCTGAATCCATGTTTCATTAAATCGTTGGCAAAACTAGTAAAATTAAAGGCGAGGTAGATAAGGAGACCACAGCAGCGTAATAGAATCAATTGCGTTTGGAGTAGTGTTGCGCCGGACAGCACCGGACTGGCGCCGATCAGATGGATCGTTAGGTATGGATTCTGGGTGTAATTAACAAAGTCGCCCAGATCGATCAGTGTTATAACTACCGTGATAATTGCAGCAATGGAAATTATGACTCTAAGGCGTATTTTCCGCATTCTTGCAGTCAAACGGGGAGCTTGGGTATATTGCTAGTACATTAAACAACGTGTCCAACGAATTGTTTCGATACCAGGCGGCATTTTCTTATTGTAGCAGAACGGTAGAACCTGAAGTGTCTACTAATAATGTTTTGTGCAGGTATTTATTTTCCGGAAGGGCTGCCAGAAACGACAATCATCAGAAACCTTACACCATCAGAAACTGTTTTCAGCTTTGTTTGTGATCTAACGAACCAATAGGTATCGATAACGCAATCGTGATTCATATTTGGAGCTCTACACTGCGTCCATTCCGGTGACTGTCAGTGAGTCTTGTTTTCATAACAAAATAGAGGGTATTGTCAAAGGTCATCGAACCATGTGAAACTTGATTCGCAAGCCAATGCCATCTGTCCCTACCAAAAATATCCTGCGAGGAATTTTTACGGGATCGAATGAACGGCTTACAGGCACCGATTCTGATAGTAAGGTTTGTGCGACCGCTGTTTCGGTTAAGATTTGTTACAACTTTCCGTATGAAATCCATCTTTGCTTACAATTTGTGCTTTTTTGTTTATGTTCGCAGTTCGCAAATGTGCTGGACATTTTCTCTTCTGCGCTTTCTTAGAATCAGGCTCAATGCATGGGTTCATAAAAACAAATCTGTTTATCCTATTACGTGCAACTGTCGCAAGACCGCTCGTATTATCAGTAATTATATTATCATCTTTCTTCCCCAAGAATAATTTCCTAATTACGATTACAGTACGATGTTTTGCCTTCCGGCACTTCGTTAATGCGGTGCAATAAGAATGTTTCTCGTAAACGAATGATATCACATATTTAGTAAAGGTCAGCCAGGTTATCGCTGCATTTTTAAACCTAATTTCATGCTCGTATTCATCTGTTACATGGCAAAGTGCAAGTTCTTATTCGTACAGCACCATCCAGGAACAAAGTTTCAAGTCAGTTATTGTAATACACCTCGTGCGTTGCAGTTTCCAGTTTATTATATGCTGCTCGTAGAGGCGAAATTTCCCACACTGCAAGCATGAATAATACTACGGCTAATCCTAGCTCATCTTCTCCCAATTTCGACACTTACCATAATTTCAGGACGCACTGGACTGCTTGGCATTCATGGACAGCTGGAATTTGTGCGTTGGCCGTATTACTAAACGCTGTTCTATTGGTGTTCTTCATCGGTCGCGTCAGACCGTGGACATCGTTTATCGTATACATTGTCGTGCTGATTGGAGGTAACATTATCAATGCTTGCCTGCAAAGCCCGGTGTCTCTGTTAATAAAAGATCTACTACCTATTACACTATTACCGACTTTTTGTTTTATCCATTTACTACTGCGTATGCCGGTTGGTTTGGTCCTGCCGTTTTCCCACATGTTGATCTGTTTAAATAGAATCTGCGCTTTGGCTATTCCGTTTTTTTATCGGCGATACCACAGCAAAAACGTCGCGTGGTGTATTAATATAATGCTAATCCTTTTGGCTGTCATTTTCGCTGTCCCAGGAGTGTGTGTTTACACCGTATACTTCCGGACGCCAGCAGCCAACGAAGACTGTTCGCTGCAAGTCTACGTATTTAATTCTTCAGGATTGCAAGAGTGGCTTTTGATCTGTGGCGCGGTATTCTACAATATTCCGCAGATGGTAGTGACGCTGAGTTATCCGCTTTTTCTGGTGTATAAAGTGAAACGCAACGCCATTCGTCCAGGTGCAGAAGGTGACCAGACACAGCGAGACCGAACGCGCTCCTTTGCTGTGCTTACACTGGTAACCGTTAGTGTCACGGTTTGCTGGATGCCATCGAATGTTTACTACTGGATTCGCTCGCAGAGTTTTGTATTTTTTTCAGTTATGAACATATTTAAATTAATTCATTCTGTATTAGATCCGGTATTATTTGTAGTTTCTATTGGATATCTCAGGGATGCAGTTTTACAACTTGGTAAATAAGATTAAGTGCGGAAATGGAACAGAAGTACTTATTTATTGAGAAGTTCATGTGTAACTTGCAGAAGCAGAACAAAGGCGAACTTAAATATTATACTGTACATGTTTTACGCGCTTGCCATCAAGCACGAAAAGTGAAAGTGAGATCACCAACACGACGCGTGGTTTTTTGTATAATTATTTTCTTGCTTTACTGTCATTAGACTGGGTCCACGGTGCAGTACTGTACTTCTTAAATAGTAACAGTATCATTGATCATGTGAGAAATTAAATGATCGTTTTGATTACATCGAATATGTTACTTATTATTCGAGCAACAACGAGCACACTTTTAATATGATACTTCGAAGTAGTGCATTTATCCTCTGCGGCATTTCGAGGATTTCCAAATTGCTTCTACTCGTGCGTGATCATGCAGCGGGAATTCCCAGGGTCGAGTTTACAACTATTTCCGTTTCGCAGTTAAATCGTTGTATTCTCTTCAAGGGCCAGTAGAAAAATAAAGAACAAATGCCTTAGAGAAGACAATATTATGGGTAAGCCTTCCATGGGGAATTTATGTCATATAATGTATGACCTACTGAGACAATTTTGCACAAACTATACAAACCAACGCATTCGGAGACCACAATAAAACCTCAGCATATACAAGTACATCGCCCTGTGTGGCTTTGATCAACAGATTCAATAGAAAATACAATCTCAGAATCTTGTGGAACATGCTTTGAAAATACTTAAATCATCTACAGTGTAAAAATAATTTGACTGCCACTGTTTTTTACCCATAGGTCTACAGTAAAGCACGGTCAGCGCCAATAAGTGATCTCGTAAAATTGATAACTTTTCATATGATCACGCGCTTTTGAAGAGCGCTCGAACCAAACCGACAATAAAATCCCGCACATCATCCAAAACCAGGGCAAACAACAATGGATCCAGCACCGCTTCCGAGGCGAACATAACCAACACGATCTGCATCAGCAGCGTCTGGTCGCTGATATCGATGAAGCAGTTGACATTGAAGAAGATGCACGACGGCGTCCACAACAGAGTTACGCTAAAGGTCAATGCCGTCAACACCCGGAATCCGCGTTTTCCCCCCTTTGCATTATATGTCCCATTTTTCGGGAGCACTTCCACTGTCCCGGCTTCGACCTTCTCCGACGCCGGTGTTTGATCAGTTTCCGGGGCGACAATATTCGCTGCAATTCGACGGGCCCGACGCTTATACACCAGATACGGATACACTGCGACAATGAAGACGATGGGGAGCGTGTAAATCAGGAACTGCGTTAGCAGACTCCAGAACTGCAACGCCTCCGTGTTGATTAGACATCCGGCTGTTTCGATAGGTAGCCGGTAGTACAGCGCATCCAAGACGACGTATGGCAGACACACCGCGTGCACGTAGATGCACGAAGCCAAACAGCAGTAAAGCGCCGTGCGCACCGTGTTGCGACGGGTGTACGAGATATGGAAGGTCACGGCCCAGACGCGGTTAATAGCGATGAGAACGTGCGCGTGCATCATGATCCCGTCAACGACATACATGGAGTACAGGTAGACGGTGCAGGCGGTATTACCCAACCACCAGGATGGATAGATTAGGTTGAGGATGTCCAGCGGATTGTTCATGATGGCGAATACCAGATTGGCGAAGAGGAGATTGGCCAGGTAAATGTAGAAGGGTCGCGATAGTAAGCCTTGGTAGATGAAAATGAACAGTACCGAGCCGTTGAAAATGACGATGGACGGGAAGATGACCATATCGCTGATGGATGGAAATGACCACGAGATGCCCGTTACAGCTGTTGAACCGTTAATATTGACGCTTTTATTGGCGATAGTTTCGTTGCGCGACACGTTAAAGTCCATTTTGAAAATAAAGGGTTTCGTATCGACGACACAGGAAAAGGGATCAGTTTATACTTTGCTCTGTTTGTGCAAACCAGAAATATACAAACCAGGGACGCCTTCGTCAAATTAAACCCACCGCGGCAACATTTATTAAGCAGTTATTGCATAGTTGATAAAGGTACGTGATATTCACTAAACGACTCTAATCGAGCGGGAATGGTTTAGCATCGTGTAGGAGATAATTGTAAATACGTAATGACAACGGTATGCATTCACTGTGCAGTTTATTTAATAATATATGTAGCCTGCAAGATCAATAACTGGATTAGGGATTTGAAACAGTATCATGTGAAATAAAATGTTAATCTGGGTATTGTGCCGGCATAGCGTATCGAATACGGTGCGCGGCAGATGCGCTTAGAAATCAGACAGGGATTTGTCTGTAAGGTTATGACGGCTTTTTAATTGGGAATTAGCCCGAATTCTGGATGCAGATTGGAGTTTTTTCGTTGTTGTGGTGGGAGTGATGTTGTTGTACAGATATTACCGCTCGTGACGTTATTGTGCAAAGACTACTCAGTGAATTCAGTAACCATGTTTTCCTAAAGAGCAACGTAAATCACTATTGACTCTCTGTTACAAGGTCGACAAAATATACCTCATCGTTGCAGACGAAGGTAAACTGATAACGTACGTGACCAAAGGCTCGCCAGTCGCCAGTATACTATAGCTACATGCAGTATCGCTGTGGCTACCGCAAACAGATGTTGTACGAGAAGTTACGTCGTCTGCTACTGCAAACGATAGATTATTATTATTGTTTTAATGTGCAACCGTAAATATTTTTTATGTGGTTAATCGCCATTAGCTTAAACGAACGCATTTATGCCATGGGCATGCTCTACTAAATATGCGCATGGCATAATTGCGTTGTCAAAGCCACGACCAAAATGACGCACTGACTTAAACGAAAAAGGGTAATTACTATCTTTTCTACGTAAACGTGCTTGAAAAGAGCTGTGTCGCTATCTTTAAAAGAAAGCAACTTTCAAGTGGTACTCGCAAACTGGCATGCCTCTGCAATACGTGCAAGGGCTTTTTTGACATTACATGAAATTCCAGAGACCCACGTAGCGTTTGAATAACTGTTTAAACGTACGCTTGATCGACGCTGACGCCAAATGGGCCACTGCCCGCACGCATACAGAACAGGTAAATCTGTAAAATCGGCAAAGTTTAGTGTACTGAATAAAAATAAAATGTTGTGCAAATGCAGCGATAGGTCTGTTGAATAATAGTATAACATATTTATTGTACTACATGACCCATATGGCCGATTTTCGTTTACGTTATAATAAATAACAAAACCTAAATCGTATGTATCGACACTAGATCCACCCGGATCCCCCTTCATTCAAATTTTGTTAAATATACTTCAAATACACAGTCACTATAAATATCTTTATATTCCCCATTAATACTACTGATTCGCAATACGTTAACAAATATTCAACTAGACAACACATGTCGGTAAAATGTTAATAGGTTCAAAGAAACTGTAAAATACAAGCTTTCATTTCCCGGTAGACCACAACTCAAGATTTTCCCAAATTAGCAAAATATTTATGCCGATGCAGCATACCAGACTGTGGGACAACCGACGTTATTTTTACCTATAAGCAACATTCCTTCCTACCATAAAAATACTTAGCATATAAAACACCGTACAGACGTTTATGATTTGTACAGTGGGTAGTGTGGGTAGCTATTTGCTTTTAGTTCTCTATCTACGAAAATGGTCGTACCGGGGTATTTATTAATTTTGCTACTGGCAGCCGGTGCCTGCTACGGTAAAACAGTGGTATAATTCTTTGCTTATTGTGGCACAGCATTGGTGATTTCATAAGCCAGTTTATCGTTAAAAACTTCAGTAATATTTTATGTCTGGCAGGAACTGTCAACGTGGATACTCGCTTCTCACGATGGAATAAGAATCGTATCCCATACTGCATCGATTCCATACTCAGTAAATGATATGCTTTTCCTTCCTGTCGAATCCGGCATATTTACCACATGCTAACAGTAGCCTGACGATGGGTATTCAAATTACAGCATCAGCGGAACGGACGGCTGTAAATACCGCCGTAACGTCGTTATTAAACTCGCTCCCTAACTGTATAAACCTAGCGCTAGTGGACTGCTCCTCGACGGAGTACCATCTCAAGTTCACCGTTACCACGTACGTACTGCATCGTACTGTATATTAAGCAGCTCTAATACTGTTATGACCTTATCTACGTGTATTTATCGGCTGTTCCATTAATATTTCGCCAAAACATATTACAAAATTTAATAGCAATGATAACTAGAAAAACTGTTATTATTAATAATTTGTGGCGTTACATTTAGCTGTCAACACAAGTACGCGTACCGGAAGTACATGTTTCAGAGTGACCTACAACATTTTTTGTTAGCGTTGTGTATAACAGCTAGCTTGGCGAACCAGTATTTATGATTATTAATAAACGGGATACAGGCGACTTTATACAGATTAAACGCCAATGGTTTGGGGTATTGCTAAATTGCAGCGATACTATGTTGCAGTGCGCAGTCGTATTCCTCCAGTTTTCCTGGCCGAGTTCTGCAAACTAACCTACTGACCACCACCAATCTCAACGAGCAGATCATCAGTGTAGCTCGCGATGCCGCACAATGCAGCAGTAATCCAATGTGCGTCCTGAAATACTTGGTCATCGCAATGGGCAAGCGCAATGAACATCAACGTGGAGATCGTGGAAATTTTATTACTGTTGCTGCTGATAATTTGCTTGCCGTTGCGGTAAGGATGCCCTTGAATCTGAATTTCTAACCAGTGCCGGTGGAATACAGATTCTCAACAAAATACTGTAACATCTACGCGATTCCTTTTTTAGGCTGCCTATCGATTGTACGGCGGAGCAGAAGCCTACTGGGATATGTTCCCTTATGACTACTGCAGTATTACGGTATGAATAGCAATTCAGTAAACAGCGTTAAACAGCCATATCTGACCCAACATGAATTTTACCGGTTTTATTCCCTATAGCACAATCAACCAAGCGAATTCCCAAGGACCAACGGACAACCAGCGTTTACCATCAAAGCACCATTTACCTGCATTCCCAGACAGAGCACTATCAGCCAAACCGACTGCAAACTGCTGAGCTTAATGTATCAGTGCTCCGCCACATGTGCTATCGGTACGGAAAATTCCAGAACCTCTAGCATTACAATTTTATTTGGTCCATTCTATTCTAACTTGCATCCAAGCGGATTGCTTCAGACAAAAATTTATTTGTTATAAAACTACTGTACAGAGTACTTAAACACATGAAATTTACTTGTGGGACACCACTATCTGTATGTGATTTACGTTGCGGTCACATTCACTTAAATTTATTTTGGTAGTTCCCTGTACGTCATCGCTGTGTACCGGAAGTGGAACAGGTACAGGAACTGGCACAGGCACCGGAACAGGGACTGGAACTGGGACTGGGACAGGGACGGGAACGGGAACGGGTACTGGAACAGGAACGGGAACAGGAACGGGAACGGGAACGGGAACGGGCACTGGAACGGGAACTGGAACCGGCACAAAAACCTGCGCTGCCGCTACCAGCCCCACCTACAACGGCCCCACGACCTGCACGGCCAGCCCATCCGATCTGGGCTATCCCATCACCGCGTCGCAAGTGTCGGCTGCCGACATCACCAGCATTGTGGACTGGCATAACGGTTACCGTCGCGGTGTCGATGCCAAGAATATGCGGAAGCTGACATGGAATCCCTGTCTGGCCAGTAGCGCCCAAGCATGGGCCAATCAGTGCACCAATCCCAGCGTTACTCCTCATGACGCCAATACGGCCCGCAAAGCGCCAGGTATATGACTGACGATTCGCTAACAATTGTAGTTTTACCGCTAATACGCAGATCCGTTCGTTCGGATGGAAGAGTCAGCGCCTAAATTTTTAGTTTTGCCAACATGCAAAGGTCACTGGTTCATTTTGCACAGGTTTTCCGAACGGATGTGGTCAAAATAGGTTCGATGGCACCAGCGGTTTTTTCACATGGAAATCAGCGGTTGATGCCTGGTATAATGAAGTGAAAGATTTCACCTACTGTAGCACCGCCAATGTGTTTTCCAAGGTTGGCCATTATACGCAGGTAAGCACTGAAATTTATTCGAGAGGGGCGTGTACGGGTATCAACAGCTATTTATTAAATTTGTAAAATAAATATCGTAATCATACTTACCAAATTAGCAGTGTTCTAGAGTAGAGCCGAATTAAGGGCATTTGCATGATCGTTCGGTCATTGGTTCACGGGTTTACATTACAGTAATCACATTTGCAGCTAATGTGGGCAGAAACCTCCCTAATTGGATGCGGTAAAGCTACTTGCAGCGGAAGTGACGTCTACGTTTGCAATTACTGCACACCGTAAGTTTTCGCGCTAAAAACGGAATAATAATTACAGTCACTAATAACCTGCGTATCAGCTGTTCGATATTTTGAATTACAGTGTTCATATTTTGGTGGTCTTATTAGGGGAAATGTTTTGCCCAACCAGAACTGTCCGTACAGCCTAGGCGCATCGGGAACCAAGTGCACAGAATGTTCAACAGGAAACGGATGTCTTGCCGGCGACTGTTTATGTGCATAATGATATTAGTTGTATGTGCTCGATTTTCTACTCTTACTTAAAACTAAAAACAAGAAAGCGCCGCACCAAAGTTGCCCCATATAAAAACCAAATAAGTCGCAGCGATTCAGTCGAAGCTATGTTAATGTTCATGTTAGCTGTTTCCACCCGTTAACGTTTAACGAACTTGGTCCAGCAAACCGCAAAATCCCCATCAAAAACGCTTTCGGCATTGCGGAATTTGCAAAGTACAAGGTAATCGCATTTTAGAATCGAGTACAGTTTATGTATGCAGACTTACCAACATACTTACAGTGTACAAACTTACAAAAGGTACAGTGTACAGTACAAGTACTGCACGTCTACTGCATAATGTGTACACTGCTTTCTTTTTGATCAAATTAAAAATGGGTACAGTCGTACAGAGTACACGAAAATTTCCTTATTTACTCATAAAAATCCAATGACAATCTCGCATATGTGTACAAAACGGTGTATAATGCTTTCTGGGGCGAATTAAAAAGGCTTGAGATACGAACTGTTGACAAATTCTTTCGAAGAATAGTCTCTTGAAGCATTTAATAATATGAACGGACACTGCATTGGTATACTGGGCATTGTGGTTATTTTTGAATGCCCACCCAAATCTCGCTGGGTGTTCGGGTTAGCGAACCGCATGTTACCGATCACAACAACTGCCAATACATAGTACATACTATAGCTACATAACAAAAATAAAATACTGTAACAGAAAAGTCTTCCACGCAAGCGTGGCAGCCGTGCCATCATAATGCACGAAAGAATTTTACGCCTGTTGCATTTTTAAGTCAAAGCCCACTATAAACTCTGCAAGTAACTGGTATTAGAGATTTTGCCAACATTGATTTGTTACTCTAAGAAGTGCTTACAAAATTGTCTGCCAGTTCTATGCTGTGTTTCGTGGATTCGTGGATCAGAACATAGAATTGCTTTGTTTTTTTATTTTAATTCAAGGAATATTTAAGTGCTTGTTAAACCGGCATTCATTTGCGGTGCTTCATATCAAGGCGAACAAGTAAAAACTGAAACGTGCGTTAAATCATCTTTTGTGCGGTGCTGAAATTATGTTTTGACTCTAATCAACCCTCTGATTCGTTACTGCAGGATAAAAAACAAAAAAAAAGAAATGTCCGAAAACAAGGGGGTAAAGCTCTCAGGTTCAGCATCCTATTAAAACAAAGATTTGAACTTTTTTAGTACAGTGTTTTCTTGGTCGGACGTAATCTGTTTCCGGACGAACGTCAATGCTTTGTTAGCAATGGCTTGCCAAATCTGCACTTGACCGGCATATTTGGCATTCAAATAAGCCACTACCAGTAAAGTGGCCAAGACAACAAGATCCAGCTTTTCCCCGGCTTTTTGTTCTGCAACATCCTTAGTAACGCCCAGAACGATTTCCAAATTCCCTGAAAATTCCCAGCTGCCATTCCACAATTGCAGATCTAACACTTGATTTAGAACCGGCTTTCGAGTGGAATCGATCATGTCTGAATTCTCATTTCTAGACTCAGTTTTGGGACTACGTGAGATTTTTTTTCTTGAACCTGGTTTTTCTTGGTTCAATGGATTTTCCTCCAAGAATTCGTTCAAGTCCATGTATTCCAAGTGGCATGCCTCAGTTTTCCGCGATCTAGAAGAATTTCCAGACTCTCTGCTTTCCTTCAGAGAACCGCCAAGTGGCATAGGTGGAGCCACTGAGGCGCAAGCCATTTGCGCCATCCTTATTCCGTACATCGGCGTATGACGCATCGGCGCGGACACCTGGACAAGAATCTCTCGTAACTGCATCTCTTTCGCTTGTCCACCTTCTCGCTTTTCAATCGCCAGGAGCGAAACGTACTTTGACATCACACCATATTTCAAAGAAATGCCCGTTATCGCATTTTTGTTGTCCGTATCAGTTTCTTCCTTCTTTGAATCAGACAAATCCGCATTTCGCTTTGGTAACGATCCACTACTACCGAGAAAAGCTGTTCCGGTTGGAGCGGTTTCCAAATACTTAATTAAAGCTCTCGCTGCCAATTCGAAATGCCTTGAATTTTTTCGGAGCTGATGGGATATGCAAAATCTGTTTCTTTCTTCAACTTGTCTTTCAGCTGCAAAACGACTTTGGGAGTCTGACCTGTCTCTCCAATTTCGAAGAACGCATAAGCAATTTGCCGGTCACCGCGGAATACGGGCGGTAACACGTACGGCACTTTTTGCACGTTTTTAACTCCTTCCCACAAAACACTCGCTTGTACAACGGCAGGCTGCAACGCTCGCTCCAGATGGCGGCCGATTTTGTCTTCTAGTATTTCACCGTGTTTACAGTACTCTGATTTTCCGTTGCCGACCAACGCGATTCCGTTGACCAATGAGCGACTGCAGCTGCCACCGATGCCGAACGAGAACACCCTGGATTTTCTGGATCTCAATGTCGATTACCAGATCGCGGTCAACTGGTTGCTGCTGGGCGCCGAAAGTGACCTGAAACAAGAATTAGAGTAGCCAGAGAAGGTACAACTGAATTTAAGCTAAGACGCGGAATTGAAATATTCGTACTGAAATACCTTTATACGCATCAAATTAAACACTACAAATAAATCGCTATCATAAAAATACATTTGTACAGCTACAAAATAAAAAATCGAAGGTTGACGTGATCAATAAAATTAATAGGTTTACTTCAGGCTTCGGATTGTAATCTACCTACCTGAACGAAACTGTCTCCAGTTATGCTGACAGCAATCGGGTGCGACACTGACGACACGGATTTCACTTTATCCAGCGTTTCAATTTTGGCATCCAGCGTCGCTTTATACGTCACCGTTGCAGCATACCTCTCCGGTGGCGCCGTTGTCCCAACCGTGCGTTCCGGACTGGGATTGTATCTCGGGAAGAGCGCCATGGGAATGAGCAGTCGCTGCTTCGTCTCGCTGACGCTGTCCAGTGTGCAGACGTAGTTGATGCTGACCACGCACTCCTTCCCGGGCGGCAGTCTGCCCACACTCAGCACGAAGGTGTCGTCGCTGCGATCCGCCTGGTCCAGAAGATACGCGCCGGCTCCGCGCTGCAGCGCGGCGTTGTATTCCTTGAAGGCTTCGTCCTTCTTCTTGAACTGACTGCTCAGTGTGCGGTCGTCGATCTTCACGGTGAAACCCGTGACAGCTGCTTGGTCGTTCATCGGGAATCCGTACACGCTTTCCAGATCCGTAGATTCGACGTTCTGGAATGTCTGGTTAATAGTGAATGAACCGGCAAATCCTTTCACATCGACATCGTAATCAATAGCGGTCAGCGGAATCGGTTTATTCGATTCGACAACAAACAATCCACAACATGAGTTCTCCATTTTCGAGGCAGAATATCCACGAAATTACTGGTTGGGTCCAAATGTAAAATTGTTCCAGAAAAGAAAGTTGAAATGAATCGAAAATCAGACTACTGCAAATCTGCCAGCTACCAGTCGGATGCTGTTTTTATATACTAAACTGCTTGCTTTGGGTTTTCATATCTTATTTTGTGAAAATCTGGCTAACGATAATGGCTTTTTGAAAGATATCTTAGTCACGATAATGACCTCATCGCACTTTAAAAACACAGATGGTTCTGCAATCTGTACGGTGAACAGTAAATGCCTGATCTGAAGTGCAGATACTACCGCAGTATGGTTTGTTTACTGGAAGTTCGACGGTTTGTAATGCTGGTAGGCTCGGTTCCTACGGTATTACGATAACACTCAGGGAACTGGATGTTCCATCCATGCGGGTGCGCATGAATGTGTAAGCGACCGATGATGTCCGTATGACTTTATCTGAGCGCTTCAAGGAGTGATCAGCTTTTCATGTGGCAATATCACATCAAGTTATGACTCTACTGCATGCACTCTACTGCACTGTGAAAATCTCTTTAAAAATCCTTCGGTTTATCAGTAAAGTTTATTTGGATTTGCTGCGCAATGCGTAAATAAGCGGGTTTTAAATTCATCTGGATGGTGCCGTTGTTACAGTGCCCGGCTTGTTGAATTTTGTCGGCCATGAACTCGCACAATGTCGGAGTGGCGCACAATCCAGCTAACCGGTCTACTACATCCGTGGCGCCGCTCCAGTACGTTTCCTGGAGGCGAGATGGCTTTTCAATAGTATCTGGATAAGAAGATGGTATGGACGACCATCTACAAAATACATACTTTAACCATTTAGAACTGCACTGCTTCACTAAAATTTCACTGTAAATAACATTCATAGTGATAATTTGCCAATTTACAGTAATTTCAAAAATATATAATAATGGAATGCTGGAATTTTCAACCCAGACCAATGGTGAATTCCAACAAACGTGCCACCAATTATAGATATTCGTGAAAATAATACTTGTAATAATTACTTACTTGTAATAATAGCTTAATAGTGCTAATAATACTTGTAATAATAGCTTAATAGTGAAAATAATTACTTGTAATAATAGCTTTCAGTTGCTAAGGACGCTACTTGTATATAGGACAACCTGGACCTTAAATCATCGTGTATATGGTTGTTTAAGATTGCCCTTGGATGGTTTTGGCAAAAAGGTGAAAATCAAAATAAGTACGTAAGCCTTTTGCAAAATTTTTTAAGTAAAGTCTCCTGTTATTTGTGTCTGATCCCTCGTTTTGTTGACTGGTACGAAGCTAACATGGCTCCTAGAGAGTATCGGCAGTTAGCTATTAAAGCCGTATGCCGGCCGGTTCGCTATCACAATCCTCAGCCAGGGCCCCGCGAGAACACGCCGTCACCAATTGAAGTATGAGCTGCAAGGCATTTCCGGTAGATTCAGTTAACGTCTTAACATGACCGTGATTTATTGCAGAATCATCCCTCTACCAGTTCCGGTCTGAGAAGAACAACGGCGGATCCAACATATGCAGCGTACGATGGCAGCCTTTTGCAGTGACCTTGAAGTGTGAATTGTACATAAATGTGTTCTTTAGATCAGCGTTTTCGCTGTTCTGTGTAGCAGAGCGTCCCGGTGTGATAGTCAATAATCCGGCGATGGATTCCGAGCAAATTGACGAAGAACTGGCCAGATTATGGAGAGAGGCCAATCCGTCAGTCAAGGCAAGATTTGTCCAGATGGCCGCTAGAAATCACCGGCGACAAGTATGGACATGTAATAGTGTTTTAAGAGCACCGCAAAAATTGATACACACGTTGTACATCTTCGCTTCAAATTTTATACTACGGGTTATTTTGCAGAAGAGAAACAGAACTGTTGACAGAGAAAGGCGAATTAGAAAACCAAGAAAACGTCCGCAGTGATTTAATAATTATTAAAATTATGGCTCTTATAAAAATTGATGTGGAATGCTTTGCGTCTTATCAAACGAGAAATGAATTTTTTACTGTTGTTCCGGCATCATGCAAATACGGGTAATTGTGCAGAACAAAAACGGGTAAACGGGTAATTGTGTACGTATATTGCACAAAAATAAAAGACCTACTCTGTGGTTGCGGCTTCAACGCAGTAACGAAAACAATTTATATTATATTCGTTTTATATAATTTATATAATCGTCTTTAAGATTATTGAATCTAGATGCGTTATTCGTCTGCGATCAGCTGTTGCATTAATGTATTGAAGTAATGAATTACTTCGTCTTTAAGATTCTTGAAATCTAGATGCGTTAATCATATGCGTTCAGGTATATACTTCGAATGCTGCCTTATATGGGCTCCCCTTATATTACTCTCCCTTATCTGGGCTCCCGAGCAATATGAGCAACCCTCTACATGGGCGGTTACGTTATTACTCGCACTTTCGCAGTTGTTATCAGTGTTAACTGCTATGACTGACTGAAAATTTTTATTTATTTAAAATACGTATTTTGCCAGTACTTTTGTAGCATTTTTCAGTTTGTTAATTGGCAAATCCGGTTGAAATTAATGAAAAATATATATAAATAATATTTATAAATATAATTCGGATGTGAAATTTCGGAATTCTTTGGTGTGCTCACTGGTAAATCCGATTGAAAGAAGTACAAAAGGGTTCTGCAGTCAACTTCTGCTATAAATCCGATAAATTAAATTTGACGGGTATTGCAAACTAGCCGGGAGCCCAGATAAGGGAGAGTAATATAAGGGGAGCCCATATAAGGCAGTATTCGAAGTACGGCATTTTGGTTTACGTGATGCTCGTTAACCGCCAGTCGGTGTAAGTGCTGACTGTGAAGAGGAGGGCGGATGTTCTGAAGGTTAATTACACACCGTTGAATTGACAACCGTACAATCAGGCGTGCCGAGGGTATACGAGGCGCAGCGTGCCTAGCCATTGTCATTTGAAATGAGACAGTAGCGCGATACATATAGGACTGCTTTACAAGCATATGCAAAACTTCATTCGGAATCAGATCAAACAACTTCGCTTAATGTCGTTTTCCTTTTAATTATATATATTTATTGTTGTTTACTATAACAACAGCGTCCAACATATACTATAACAACTATAACAACTATGTTTACTATAACAACATATTTATTGTTGTTTACTATAAGTTATACTTCCATATGTATGGAAGTAATCTAACCATGCTTCTGCACTGACATTGTGCAAATCTGTTGTCGTATTTTTGAATTGTGCTTACAGTAAGTAAGTATGCTCCAGTAAATTTTCTAAACAGAATGTGAATTAACGACGATGTTTTTAGCTTTGGTTGTATTAGCCAGTTTGATTATGACTGAGATATCCAGTACTTAATGTTACAGAGTCATGTTAGTACTTGCTGTTACTACTCGACACTCTAACAATCTGCTTAAAATTCTCAAAACTAGTTCAGTTTTGTATAAAATTTAAAAAATGGGTAATAAATCGTAGAAAAGTGCTAATATATTACATAAGTCGTAAATATAATTTAATATTTCTAACAACTGTAAGTGAACGTATGTATGTTATTGCTAAAAAGTAAAAACTGGTCATAAATCGTTTTTCACAAAGGTTGTAGCGACAAATAAACGACGCTCACATATCACAAGTTCTGTACAAGAGTAGATCGAAAGCCATTCAAGTACAGCGAAGTCGCCGCCCTGGCCACGTGTATATGGCAAGAGCTATAACTTGGGACATTGTTTGCTTTTGCAGAAAACGGAGTGTGACATTCTACTATTATTGCTAAAATTGTTAAGATTAGTTTAGTTTTGTAGTAAATTTTGTGCTGAATAAGTTCTCTTTGATCGTACTTAGAAAAAAACAGGTAGAAGAGGGTATACTCGTTGCAATGTGGATTTCACTGATGTTTTTCCCATAGACGCATATGCTTAACCTTGCGGAATGTCTCATTCCAAATGACACAATAGAGCCGAAATCACACCTCATTAGCGATTGTACCGTTGTCAATTTGCTGAAGCTTGCTTTGTTAAGGCGTAAAGATGTGTCGAAAAATAGAATGTTTAACGCGAGGTTCCCAGTGGTACGGTCCCTTTGCGGCAACTCATATAACACAGTCATAACACGACTTCATATCAAACTCACTTGAAGATACATCAGGAAAATGATTTTTCTACCCTACAGCGTTAGAAAAAAGTTTATTTTACTCACTGTAAATTAATTAGGGGTGGTGGGGCGGTGCCGCCCCTGAACATTTTCTGCTATAACTCTTAAAGCTTACATGATATCGAAAAACGGTATGTGTAACAAGCTCAGCAGGTAGTGTTCGATTTATTGAACCTTTTTGAGTAATTTTTTGGTAACGCGTTGACTTGTTGTGAAATTAAGTTTAATTTCTCACAAAACACGTTTAAAGTCTACCGTGTTTTGTTGCGCTATCTTCACTACAGAAAATCTTCAGCTGGAACGCTGAGTAAAGCAAATGCAGAGACAGCAGGGCTGGAGACGGCAGACGCGCAAGCCGCATGCAAAGACAATAGCCGTCGGTCAACTATCTGTAAGTTATCACACCATCCTGTCACTAATTGCTTTGGCTCAGCATTCCTTTGAAACGGCTGATTACTTCACATGCGCTAACAATACCTGATTTGCGATAAGCAACCGGACTAGTACACATGCCCGAAAATCGCGAGCACAAGTCATAAAATGTAATTAAAAAGCAATTAAGACTGTGCTTACTAGGAACAGGCATGGTCACAGAGAGACGGGCCCGACTACCAAAAGCGACAATCGGTAGGCCGCAAGTGCACATGCACATGCGAGAGGTAAAACGATGGATGAAACACAGGAGAAGGGAGAATTTGGTCTGCCCTGTGTCTACCCGTGGCCAGTCCATCGCGCGTTCAGTTTTTCGCAAGGCGAAAGAGGCAAGCATCCCTTTTAGACGCATGACGCGGTGCCTCCGAGTCATGGTATCTATAGCATGGGTAGTGGCCGCTTGCTTATCGCAAATTCCGAAATAGTTTTGGATCAGAATCCCATCCATCGCTCTTGACCATAAAAGATCGGATTCATAACCCAGATTGCCTAAAAGCAGCGCTAGCCGCTTTCTCTCTGTTGAACAGCGCTTCCCCCGTCGACACTCATAACGGAAAATTGTTTTTTAACGTAAACAATTTTTTCACACATGATAGTGCCATATTCTGATAGAGGAGACTTTATTCTTTACAGTGAGCTATAAACCCCAAAATGAATTTCGACTGGGAACCTCGCGTTAAGCATTAACATTCATGCCAATAATTAACGCAATAATATACAAGCTGTATCAGCCATTACAGAGTAAGTACCTAAAAAAAAACTCTGGAACGTATTCCATATAACCGTTTAAATAAAAGCTCAGGAAAACATGACAAGACTCAAACAAGATTTCCTAAAAATTAGAGCACCATTTAAAACAGGAAATTTAAGTCGTAATGTGCAGCAGCCATCCATCACTTGGTCACACCCAGTAAAGAACTTCATTACGTGAATTTTCATGCACAAGTCGCCCCATGGTCCGCTTCCCTGCTGCGCAAAACAATCAACTCTTTGGCAAAACATAGAACGGAGGCATAAAAAAAGAGAAAAGTAGTAGTTGGTTTCTGCAATCATCAGTCAAAGTGTCCAGTCGACAGCTGGTCATAATTTCGGCTCAGTGCACTCTCGAAAAAAGCGCAAGACAGATACTCGTAGTAACGTTGACTGATAATTAATTCACACTGATTTATTTCTGACCCAAATCGCGAGCGTCACTTGAAACCTGTCATCAGTTGCTTTTTGAGATACGTTTCAGTTTCTGAAGGCAGTCAATGGCAATTAAATTGTAGTACATAGTTACGATAGAGTATGCTGTTAAAGCGAAAGCAAACGTGTGCTGCATAATAATGAATTCAACAAACTTTAGGGCGTTGACGGTGATGCTCGGATTTACCACAGCCGACGTGACAGCTTGTCAGTTCCAAAAAACGTAGCACGTCTCGTTTATCAAGTCTTACGCTTAACTTTAATTAGATGCTTCTGCTTCCTCTTGTCTGGGAGTATTCGCAACATATTCGAAACATAATTTTAGGTCGCATTACTCGGTTAACTGTTTTATAATTAATATGTGACAGCATTCGTTATACATCCGCAATAAAAAATAAGTAGCGATGCTTTAGTATGAGTTATGGAAGAGTAGGATTCTGCTGTCAACAGCAAACCCGCAGGCCAACAAACTACAATACTTTAATATACGCACCACTTTTTATTGTTGTACTCTATTTTTGGGGTATATTTTTCTTGCATGTGTAAATTTTCAGAGCAGCAATAAAAGCTAAAGACTCGTTACTCACAATTTCCAAAGGCAATTTTTGCAGACAGTAGATAAACAACAAAACCTTAAGCTGTTTGCGCGTGTCGCTCAATACCGCATCAAGTTTGATCTAATCTGATATCGTATCTGTATATGTACTGGCAAACTGTGGCCGCTGAAATTATTCAAACTTTTAAAGTGAGAAATTGTACTTGATGCGTGGAAAGTGACCGTTGCCAAAAATGACCTTTCGGGCGTTAAGAAAACCAAGCACAGGCCTTGTTCATCATGTTGTATTCATAATCGCCTTGACACAGAATGTAAACGGATTTGGAGGGCGACCTTTTGGAAGGTCATCATCGTCCTCAGCATCATCGTCCCCAACATCGAGCGGGACAACAAATGCTGTTTCCGCTGAATTGAGCTTGCTTGCATTTATCCGTAGCTGCTTGGGTTCCACATCCAATGCCGCTTTGGGATGTCCGTGTGCCGGTAATGGCAGACGCTGCAAAGATTCATTGTCCATTTGCCGCAATTTCAAATGTATTTGCGACTCATCGATTAGCACGTACGACGCGGTTTCCAATCAGTGTACTGCTATTGCCAGTCTCACTAACTCTGACACGACTACCACTACTACTACAACCACAACTACAACGACCGCTACCACAACCACGACTACTGCAGCCACTGGTAAGACCTGAATAAACCTTTATAATTAACGATAATCAAGCATAAGGATATAATAATTACGATCGGAGAGTAACTGACGAAGTCGACTAGCTACAGATAAA